CCCAGCGCCCCCCCCCCCCCGGGTGACATCTAAACTTCTTCCTTTTGTTTCTTTCTAGGTTGAAGATTGTCAAAATTTCTTTTAAGTGCAAACAGTTCTTCATTCAGCTGAGAAAGGAACTGGTGAGTATCGGCGAGGACTTGTGCAGAAATACGGCGGAACTGACCATTCCGGAGTCGTATGTTTTCCTGTTTGCTCCCTTTAGCCGTACTCGTGTAGGATCTTATACCAGTCATCGTTCTGAAGTCATGGGACTTGGAATACATTGCTGGTAGTCTCAGCCCCTCTCCATCGAACTCCCTGCTGTGTACTTGTGCTGATTGCTAAGGGGACTCTTTAATGAGATGAGCGACATCACTGCCCATGAAATGCAACAGCGCCGCAGGTTTACTTTATTGGCAGCCATGCAGCAGCTTATCTTCCCTTCACTCCTCCTCTGCTCTGTTCTCTATGGGAACCAAAGTAAAAGCACCAGTACTAGATATGGCGATCATGTGACTCTGCACTGATACCAGTATGGCTGGCGATACAGAGTATTTGGGGGGCGAGTACTCGTACAAATGCTCCGATACCTTTCCCGATACCGGAACTTCCAGTCAGAGGAAGATTTCCTGTGACCGGCAGTGCCGTAGGGGAACATGGAGTCAGCTTCCAGTGTGATCAGGAAGCTGGGTGGCGAGTAATGACCCGGCTTCCTGATTGGTTGGGAAGCAGGCTTCCTGGCCAATCAGCATCAAACTGCCCGAACAGCCAGCTCCTTGCTGATTAGGCGGGAAACCGGCTTCCCAGCCAATCGGCATCGAGCCGGCTGAACAGCCGGCTCGATGCTGATTGGCCGGAAAGCCGGCTTTCCAGCCAATCAGCATGTAGTTGGCTCCCCGGCCAATCAACATCAAACCGGCTGAACAGCCGGCTCGATGCTGATTGGCCGGGAGGCGGGTCATTACTCGCCTTCCTAATTGGCCAGGAAGCCGGCTCGATGCTGATTGGCTGGGAAGCTGGTTTCCCAGCCAATCACAATCATGCCGGCCAAACAACATGGAGCCGGCGTCCCGGGCAATCAGGAACCTGGGCTGTATGTCATTACCCAGGAAACCGGCTCCATGCCAGCGGAGGCACCGGTATCGGTACTTGGTATCAGCAAGTACTGAAAGCAAAGTATCGGTACTGGTACCGGTGCATCCCTACTCATTACCCTTCCTCCCATGAGACCTCGCCATTGCCTGTGGTAGCTCAGACACCCAACGCTGTCACCCGAGGACAGGGAGAGAGACCTCATCACTGAGCTCCTAGTCCTGACCAAAGAGTGAAGAGGAGATAAGTGGTGAAGACCCTTTTCTGTTCCCCCATAACTGTCCCCTGTGTACACAGCCAGCTCCATACAGACATGGTGGTACTCCAGCTCATTTCGGGGGTTTTAAAACCCCCGACTTCTTCAGGGCTAATTCATCAAATACTAGGTCTTCATTGGTTTATATGATGTGACTATGTGCTACATCCCATGATAAAGGTGTAGTGAGTAGACCTGGTTTAGATCCTAGGTTGCCGCCTCTCTGTTGGTGGAGTGTTTGCTCATCAGAAGATCTGATCCTGGATACGTGGTTGGGAGCGCCTAGTAAAAACAGGAACGCCAGGTACAGCCAACGTGTTTCAGGTTATAGAACTTCCCTGGGATCCGGTCGGCTGCCCTTATGGTTAGAGTTAAAGGAGAACTATGGGGTCAGGGCTTTTCCCCATAGTTCTCCTTAGGGTCACGGGAGGACACAAATTAGCGTCCTCCCGTCACCCAAAGCTCAGTATATGGAGAGCTGCAGCTCGCGGTATACTAAGACGCCGCAGCTGAAATGGATCCCGACAATTATGTCTGGATCCCCCCAGCTGCGTGAGTGACAGCAGGCTCTGCCTATCTAGAGGCAGAGCCAGCTGTACCCTCCCCCGTCCGTTCTGCCAGTCAGCGCGGGCGGAGGGGGGAATCCAGCCCCTCCCCTGTCACAGCAGAGAGCCATGACAGGATCGAGAGGTGAGCGAACGCCGGTATGTGTTCGCTCACCTCCCGATCTACTGAGCCGACCTGTGACAGTCTCATTGTCACAGGTCGGCTAGAACTATGAGGTGAGTGAAAAGCACCCCCCCTCATAGTTCTCCTTTAAGGTAAGGGTGAGGCTGACACTCAACCCCATTTTATCCCCAATCCCAACTATTTCACAAACCTGGCCTTGATTACTCCACAAACTCCTATGTAAGCCCTGAAGAAGGGGGACCCTGTTACTTGAAACACGTTGGCTGTATCTAACGTTCTCGTTCAATAGGCATTTTAAGTGACTTTCCCAGCGAGATGACCATTTGTATAGCCGCCACCAACCACATACCCTGGATAAGAACCCAACTTGGCAATGGAACTTTCCCCGGTGGTGCCGTGTGAACGTGACGATGTCTTTGCCTGTTTTTCAGAATGAATATCGGGAGACGGTGCTGGGCTTTAACATGGTGAATTATCGCGCCTGTAAGAACGTGTGGAAAACGTGCGTAGAGCATCATACCTTCTTCCGGTTAGACTCGCCACTGCCGCCACACAAGAACTTCTTCGCTCATTACTTCACTCTGGGCTCCAGGTTCCGGTACTGGTGAGTATTACACAGAACCTTGTGGTCGAAAATGTGACACTGAATTGCCGAAAGAGGACCTGTGAGACGCGCCGAAATAAAGACGAGCAGGAGGCGATGGTCCAGTCAACGGTGGTGCCTGCGGTCACGTGCCGGCGTAGGATCTTTCCCCCCCATTACTGGATTACCTTGCCTTGTTCTGCACTGGGTCTCGGTGTGGCGCTGACCATCTTGGTAAAGGAGCAGGGCTATGCTTCCTCATGTCAGAACTGCCCCCTGATGACCGGTGGTCTGATAACTGGTGGGGGGATAAATATAAAAGAGAACTATGGGGGTTTCCTTTTCATCCCATAGTTCTCTTTAGGGTCACAGGAGGGCATATACTAACCACCTCCTGTGACCCGGAGCTCAGTATATAGCAGACTATCGCCCCCGCTATATACTGAGACCGCCGCAGCCCGACAATACTGTCTGGATCCGCCCAGCTACGTGAGTGAAAGCTGGCTCTGCCTATCTAGAGGCAGAGCCAGCTGTACCCACCCCCTCCCCCGTCCGTTCCTCCAGTCAGCGCTGGAGGATCGGGGAGGGGGGAATCCCTGTGGGGAGCAATGACTGACCATCACGGCTCTCTGCAGGGACAGGATCGAGAAGTGAGCGAGCAAAGGTATGTGTTTTCTCACTTCCCGATCTATTGAGCCGACGTGTGACAGTCTCATTGTCACAGGTCGGCTCGAACTATGAGGAGGAGAGGAAATCACCCGCCTCATAGTTCTCCTTTGAGAGGCAGCAGGAGAGGCAGAGGAAGCACTGATTGGAGAAAGCACAAGGAGGGAGATCATTGCGCTGCAGGTGCTCAGGTACGGCTTTCTCTCCAGCAAGGAGAACAGTGAGCAGCGCTCTAGTAGCATCAACAAATCTCACTCCAAATCTGGTGAGACCAGAGGCAGGGGGTCAGAGCCAGCAGTCAGTGGCAGCAGTGACTTAGATGATCTCACACTGCAGATATACATCTATGACTCTACACAATAGGAGTGCCCAGGCACAGGGGAGTTAAGGGTACGCAGGGTGCTGCTTAATCACAATAAAAGAGAACAAATCCTCACTTGTGAGCTCAGGTCCACCTGAAGGGTTGCTACTAGGGTCCAGCCGATTATCAGATCTGCCGATAATCGGGGCCGATATTCACAAATGTTTCTAATGATCGGTATCAATCTTAAATGTACTGATATTACTGATAAGTGCCCCCAGTGAAGAGGAGCAAACCTTCCCCACCCCGCAATCTCTCAGGTGGTTTCTCTGCTGATTAACAGCAGGCAGTGGGCGGGTGCAATAGTCAGCCTGCTATTAGCTGTTTCAGATTGCAATAGCCAATAGCAGGCTGCCTATCCAAAAGGCTCATGTGTCCCTTTAATGTACGATTACAAAAATAGGATGTTTGACTTGATGTAAAATTCTCCTCTCGGCGGACTTTAAGGGACGCAGGTCCCTCCGCGCTGTTCTTCTGATCTGCTAGTCCTGTTGCTTGCTACAAAACTGAGGCATGCTGGGAGTGGGAGGAGTTATACTGGGTTGTCCCACTTTGTTTTGCCAGTGCCCAATCACCTGAAGGCAGCAGCATAACCCAATGTACATGAATGGTTCATCCTGTGTCCCTTAGTTCATGGTTTGGGTTTACATACACGTCGTTCCTTAAATTGGATGTTTCTGTGGCAGGCATGCGATACCATTGTAGCCAAGTTTTGACTTTTTATTGGATTGTCCAAATTCTCCCTTATTGGTCAGCTTTGTGGGGTGTTTGACGGGCTGATTCTAGAGGCCGGCGCCGGTATACCTGAGTATATAGAGAGAATGGATTCGCTGAGCGGTGTCCCCCCCTCGGTGACTCTCCCTGCTCGTCTTCCCCTCGGTGACTCTCCCTGCTCGTCTCCCCCTCGGTGACTCTCCCTGCTCGTCTCCCCCTCGGTGACTCTCCCTGCTCGTCTCATTCATAACACGGCCGCATACTTCTCTGCTGCATGACAGGCTCAAGTGTTCCGTCTGTCCTGTTACTAAATCTGTCTCAGCCGCCTCTTGGCTCCCCGAACTCCTCACATCTGTCCCGGCTACTCCTCGTCCCCGTCATTCCAGAAATCTGCCCGGTCCTATTCTAGAAAGCTTCTGCTCTCTTGGGGGATGTACGTCCCCCCAGCTTTCCTTTGTAGGTTGCCACACAAACATGGCCGACGTCTACAAAATATCCTTAGAGGAACTCTAATAGGTTGGACTTGATGGACTAATGTCTTTATTCAACCTCAAATACTATGTTACTATGTAACTTTCAGCAACTTCTTCACACTTTTTTTCACAATATGCAGCAAAAGTATCATTTTTCCGGTGAATAACTTTGCCTAGGCTGAGATGATGTGCTGTTCATGTGCCCGGTGCCGTTCACGTGCCCGGTGCCGTTCACGTGCCCGGTGCCGTTCACGTGCCCGGTGCCGTTCACGTGCCCGGTGCCGTTCACGTGCCCGGTGCCGTTCACGTGCCCGGTTCCGTTCACGTGCCCGGTTCCGATCACGTGCCCGGTTCCGATCACGTGCCCGGTTCCGATCACGTGCCCGGTTCCGATCACGTGCCCGGTTCCGATCACGTGCCCGGTTCCGATCACGTGCCCGGTTCCGATCACGTGCCCGGTTCCGATCACGTGCCCGGTTCCGATCACGTGCCCGGTTCCGATCACGTGCCCGGTTCCGATCACGTGCCCGGTTCCGATCACGTGCCCGGTTCCGATCACGTGCCCGGTTCCGTTCACGTGCCCGGTGCCGTTCACGTGCCCGGTGCCGTTCACGTGCCCGGTGCCGTTCACGTGCCCGGTGCCGTTCACGTGCCGGGTGCCGTTCACGTGCCGGGTGCCGTTCACGTGCCGGGTGCCGACCACGTGCCGGGTGCCGACCACGTGCCGGGTGCCGACCACGTGCCGGGTGCCGACCACGTGCCGGGTGCTGTTCTCGTGCCGGGTGCTGACCACGTGCCGGGTGCGATGCTTCTGCTTTCCCTGTGAAGGGTGATGATGACGATGATGATAAAGTTGTGCTTCATGTTGTTGCAGCGGGCGGACGGAGGTGCAGTCTGTGCAGTATGGGAAGGAGAAGGCCAATAAGGATCGGGTTTTTGCGAGGTAAGCAGCAATTTGCACATTTTGTGGCCGCGTGTTCTCCGCTTTCTGCCTCTTCCTCATTGTCTGTCTGTGAAGTGTCTATATAAAGTCTCTGGTCTGACGGGCTCTGTGCTTATGGCTTGG